AAATTAGGGACAGCTAGCGCAGATATCCCTCATGTAGCTTTGCGCAAAATTCAAAACAAACAAGTAACATGGTTAATGGAATGACCAGGTTGGTTAAAGTGTTGAGCAACAGGGAGATCTTTTTCGGTGTTAATAGAAAATTTATGGTTGTTGAAACTTTCTCTAAGAGTTGCTTGTGTATGTCCTACATATTGATAATTGCATTTTTTACACTGTATAACGTAAAAGGTGTTTTTTGTTTCACAAGTGATTTCTTTTGATATTTTAAATTTTCTTTGATTGTGCTTGTCAGAAAATGAGTCTGTGTTTTTTATGAACTTACAAGTTTGACAACAGGCTTTATTGCATGGACAATGTTGTCTCCTTCAAAAAAGCAGAACTCTAAGTAAAAGATATCCTTATTCACACAAAAGTGAATTACATCCCACCCAAAAATGAACAAAGATATTCAGAATAACTCAATATTACATTTAATATATATATCTTGTCTCATCTGCAGTTATTCAACAGACTTATTTCACTGCTTTAGGAATAATCAGTTTTACCTGATATAGCATACACATAACTGTGTGCAAGGTTTACCCTTGAAATTAGCATACAATTACAATGTGGTCATTATAAATTATTTGCTATTAAATGTGACTGAATATTTTTGTACTTCAATTTAAGCCATCACAAAATAAAACAAGCATTGAACCCAGTTAAACAGGTCGACATCTTCAAAAACACTTTTACCATGAAATAGTATGGATTTTAAAAGAATCCACCCAAAGACAATATATTATTGTTTAGCTTCTAACAGATGTGTGTTTTATTTTTCAAACATTATTTTAATTGTTCTGCATCAAATTATATGTCAAATAAATTTTATTTCTTAAAGAAATTAAATAACTGTGTAAATGGAAACTACATTTACCTTTAATCTATTGCCTGTAAAACAACTGCCTCTTTACATCGTATAACAAAATGATTAAATAAAATCATACAGTTTAAGAAAAAAGTGTAGTTTTATTGGAAAACAACTTCTGATAAACTTTTATCAACATTACAGAGTATTAGTTCTACGTTTAGAAAACTTTTCACTATAACTGATACAAGAATTATCAATACAAAAACCAGGCTAAGAGATATTTTGGATTCTGAAAAATCATCTAACTTGAAAAATTTATTAATAATCTTTAAAGTTTCTAATGTTTCAAATTAAACTTCAAGATATTCAAATGTAATTTTATGTATAAATGATTTCTTGAAAATATCAAGAAATATATTTTTTAATATTTAAATTTCATTTTTATTTATATTAATAAATTGCGATATACAAAGGATTGACTACATTATATCACAATGATTTTGGATATACAAATCAACAATTCATGTGACGACAACCACAGTGAATTTAATATCAAGGTGGAATGGGATATATCAGAACTACATTTTCACACTGTTTAGAATTCAATCGACAGTGTAATGCTACAGATAATTGATTGCTTTTGGAGTAACAACCCATTCCAATGCAAAATATTTATACACTCAGATCATAAATATGCATTGAGATCTAGGATTTAGAATTTATAAGATAAGCATATTTCTTGTAGTTAACAGTTTTGGAAATCAAACAAATATACATCATTTTGGGGCACCAGGACCATTTAGAAAGAGACCTGAAAACCTAGCTTTTGTAACAGATGAAAATACATAAACACAGAGGTCAGGGCAGAAGTTGTCCACATATCCCAGGCAACAGTATGCAACATAATCAAGAAAAGTGACAGAAGCTGTTTCCATGACATACCTGTTCGACTATTGCATATTACAAATAGCTGGAGAGTGAAATGGGCAATCCTACTATTTCATATGACGTCAATTCACCAGACACAGTGATTGTGAATTTCTTTGCAATCTGACTATTGAAACAGGTACTTGAAAACTAATGGCCTCATAAACTGGGTGGATTATGGAAAGAATGTTGGGAGGCGTGGTGTGCTTTGTACCTGAAAATCTTACGACAGAGTGTTTTGGAATGGAAACTACACTGAAAGGATTACTGTCAGGATTCATGGTTGCCAGAGCATGACTGGATGTGGATCGTAACATCATGATTTAGCTCCAATATCATTTTAATATAACAAACTCATCCTCTTTGTAGTGAAGGTTCTATGCAATGATGTAAGGTATGAAAACTCTTTTTGAAAATAACTTCAAAGGCATGATATTTGCCCAATTTTTCACAAATCTGTAATGAACCCTAAATTGCAAAATAGTACAAGAACAATTTATTAAAGGCTATATTGCCAATACATATTTCATTCATTCAGATATGCAAAACAAATACAAACCTTCTGTACAACTAAATAAAAACACATTCACACAAACAGTTTCATGCCATTCTAAAGGAAATTCACAAACAAGATCTGAGAAGCATTAGCCGTTTGAAATGATTGCTTAGAAAAATTCAAATTACATTAAAAAAACAATTAACAAGGTATAAAGACACACACACACACAAATCTATAAAACGATGCTTGTATTCTGAAACTAAATCACAGTATTTAAGACATATCAAAATTTTATGTATAAATAATTACACAGTCTATAGCCTCTGCTGGGAAAAAAATTAATTTTATATGGATAATGAAAATATTTAAAATAAATAGGATAATTTGAAACTAAGTTTTCTTTTGAAATTTTAAGCATACACTAGTAATAATACAAGTTTGTGAAATTTGTGTTTATCAAAAACAATGGTTTTAAGTGCAAAATAAGGCACCTCCATTTGCCCAGGAAATTAGCTAAACATTTAGGTTTGAGCAAGATACGAGAGATACAATCCATATTAGGGTTCCAAGAGACGAGATCTCTTTTAAGCTGAAACATTTATTTGAATTGACTTTTAAAGATTACCAAAATATGTTAAAATATCAGAAAATCATGAAGTGAATTAAAATATAGCAATGTTTTAAACACTAAAAGAGGTGAATGTAAATATTTGACTTAAAGAATAAAATTAGCAGAATTACAAGCTATTTGTAGACAGTATAATAACTGAAAATTATTTTAAAAACTGATATAAGAGGAAGTAACATTAGTTTTTTTTTTATATTCTTCTATATCACAGTACCCTTTTCAGGTTGACGTTAGTATTATCTTGGGCTGTGTTTGAAGGTTCATTTACTAGCCAGGAATTTCAAAATAGTTCTAAACAGTCGAAGGTTCATCGTGCAGTATTCAAGCAGCGTCAGATTTTTTTCCACCCTTGTTAACAGAAACTGTGTGACAATATTCGAATAGTAATCACACATTAAATGTCACTTCTGTGTAAAATTTGATTTTTTGGTTTGCAATGATCATTACTTAAACAAAAGTAGTATTAAAATAAAGGTACACACCACTAAAATAGTATATACAGCAGTTCATTCCATGCATTGGAACAGACCACTATGGAGAAGCAAGGAGAGAGGGGGTAGGTTATTGGCTGCATTGCTTCACTAAACTATACTGTCCAGTATTCAACACATAAGAAAATTTTTTATGTAAAACACATATGAAACATAAAATATAGAATACCATTGAAAAAGAAGCATGGTGTAACTCTCCCTCCACCCCCCTAAGGCATATATATTTAATTAATCAACAATATTGTTAAACAAATTAAATGATAATAGCACACCCTTGCTGTTACAGTTGAAGGTCCATATTTATTTTCTAATCAAACTTTTAGTGCTACTTTGTTCTGTTTTGTTGTTTATTAATGTATTTATTACGTGTGTTTAATTAATCAACAATTTTATGTTCAAAAATTATTACTGATAACCAGCTTGGAATAGCGACTGTTAAATAACGATCTGTTTTGCTAAAGTCAGCTGCAGTTCTTTTAATTGGCCACAATAGGGTGCTCGTGCAAAACAAGTTTTCTGTATGTAACTATGAGTATTGCACTTAGCATCAGCATAAACAATGCACATCTTTTATTTTTATTTATGATAGAAAAACATGATTACTGTTCTATTTAACTTATTTTTAAACTAGATGTGAATATTTTACTTCACTGATATGTATTATTTATGAAATAAAATGATGTTAATCAGATATAAGCTAGTAGTTTTGATGATGTCATCAATAAATTGTGCAAATTAGTACATTCAAAGGTTAAAAACCTTTGTTTGATAATGTGTTTCAAACCTTTTAAGGTTAAAATTTACTCTATGTTACAGCGTGAGGCATTTCTGATGCTTAATGAATTTTGTAAGTAAAATAAAATTATTAATTAAATAATTAGTTAGTTCAGTAAGTGATAGAAATCTACATTAATTCAATTTTTTCAGATCTTTTGATAAATTATCAGCCCAAATATACACCATATTGTCCATGTAACCACTACTTAAATGAACTATTACATATTCATTAGTACAAACTTCTAATCAAAGCAAGTTAGTTACTTTTGACTCTTGATCATTTGAGTAATCCCATGAACCAGTTTGATCATGACTGATCATTTTACAACTAACTTTGGTCAGCACTTCTTAATCTTGATCATTTGATAATTGATGGTACATTCTTATTTGCTTTACTTGACCTTAATCAATTCTTGTTTGATATTTCTGGCTTCTAATACTTGCTGTTTGTTTAATCAAATATTTCTATTTAATCAGCTATGCTACAAACTAATCCACTTAATTTAAAATTACATACATTTAATCAAACAGCTGTATTTTTGTAAGCTTTACTTGCTGTCCAGAATCATTTATATAATTGACTTTTCTGAATGACTAGTTTCCATTTCAATGAAATCAATACGTAGGAAATCTTTAGAACTTATTGATCATTTAAAAAAAATTCACTGATGACAAATATACTGTTATTCATTTCTGTTGCACAACTATACATTATAATAAAGTAAGCAGATATTTTAATAAACTATTTAACCTTTAAAAATTACTAATAAAAATAATAACAATAAAGCAGCAGGTAGACAAACTAATTTAATGAATTTTATCAAATACACATGTACACACACACACATATACATACTGATAGCAGGTTTTTTGTTTGTGTATTTTGAAAATACTTAGGAATCATGAGTTATTTTTTTGAATTTCTACAAACATATAATATGCTTTAATAAGGATAACCACTTAAAAGATTAAAAATCTACATTTTCAAGAACTTGTGTAAATAATGGAGATTACCCAAAATTTAACAAGCTTTTATAAGTGTAGATAAATATTAAGTAAAGCTTGTTTTAGCTATTAGCATTACATGATAAGATTTATAACAAATATTTCTCTTATATATCAAAATACTCATTATATTCAAAAAATAACTAAAAGAGACTGATCTTGAAACTTAATTACGACTAACAAATATTATAATTATTTTTTATTATTATATAGAAAATCTATAAATGTTTTAACCTTTTTAAAAAGCTATATCTACTCTCAATTAGCAGTACCATTAATTACTCATGTGAACAATATGTCAACTTATTATACACAAGATAAAATAAAAAACATTGTTTTAAATATAATTCAGGTTGTTTTGTCTATACATAAGTGTTGAAAAACAATGTTACAAAATCTGGAAATAAACTACAGTATTTGGTAAATACTTTTCTTTCCATTAACTTAAAATGGCTTGTAACAATTGCACTTTCTATTAGTACAAGTTACTGGATGTATTTCTTAATATAAATGTGACAGTAATTTTTTATCATATCCTAATATTTACAGCATAAATTGTACAGTTTTAACACTGTGTTTACTTCTGGCTTCATCCGATGCTCTCACACCATTAACACAAAGGGTATGTCATTTTGAAGTTAGCAACACTCCCTATATATATTTCATTATGCTACATAACTGTATTCATCAGCAGAATGAGGGGTCCTTTCCAAGTACTGTTTGTCAATCAAGGATTCAACACATTTCTTGATCATTGCAATGCTGGGCACAAATCGAGATTTAGCTTGGTTGATAACCTGAAACGAAACAGACAACAATGATCTAGGTTTAAGCATGTCTTTAGGTAATGAAAGAAACAGTTTAATCATGAAACTATCATGTTTATGGCATAATATTTATTTTCTAATAAAAAATACATCCTTATAAAATATGATTTTACATCAAATTACAATAGCTTGTTTTAAAGAAGGTTTAGGTTGGTGATTGTAATTGATCTGGAAAGATATAATAGATGTTATTCATCTGCCCTTGAAACTTGTTAAGGAGTATATTTCAATCTATTAGCTCAAGTCTTTAACTGATAAAGTTTTGCACTATGATTAAGACATCATCCTCAAATATTAGGTAAACCAGAGCATGAACTCCATTAAACATTAGGTTGCTGCTTTTGAAGAGAGTTTACAAATTTTTTGATTATTCTTATAAAATTCACTAAATGTTGTTTATACTTCTTGGGTAAAAGTTCTCGAACGCTTATTTTACTTTGTATAGTTTTAACAAATGAACAGCCATAAACGTTATTTATTTATTTTTTTATATAGATTTATTTTTCTATATCAATTAATGGAATATTCCAATTATCATATTGTTTGAAGCACCTTAGTTATATAGGAAGAACACCACTTAAATACAATGGTGTAAATGTCTAATCAACTGAACCAATTGGTTTAAAATTATATTACTATAGGACTGGGAGTTTTAATCACATCATTCTTCAGCAACTCAATACAGGTTTGCATTGTTAAAAGAATGGTGCATAACTTGTGCATGACAGTGACAACGAGATCTTACAATTAATGCCAAAATTTGAAACAATGATCTTGTTTTGCCTTAAAAAATTTATAAATTGCAAGTTAACTACATTATAGGAATTGGCCAGCAAAAATGATAACTGTTACACATATTTTTTCTATTGAAAAATTACTTATACAAATTTTGATTTGGAATACCAACTGAGATATAACTTTACACTTATTAATAAAATAACTTCAGTTCTGAAATACTTGCATGGGTTGCACATGTTAATAAAAACTAAATTCCAGAGCTTTCAAGGATCAAAGTGTAATTTTCAAGGACCTCATTTATTGATCTTAAAAAAAATGTCAACTCCACCAAAATTAAATGACTAATGTTTTATTATATCTTCTAAAAAAACAAGCAAAAGTACCCAACCCCAATGATATGAAAAGTTTAAGTTAATCTATAAATTTAAATTATTTCATAGATTTTAAAAAGGTTAATTGTGTTGCACTCTTGGTTTTACTCAGAGCTACTTATAACACCGACCATGAAAAGTAATTGTTAAGCATTTCAGACATGCTAAAAGTCACTCAACAATAACATATCGTAAATCTACATTTTTATTCTTTAAGTTACATCACATTTTGAAATGTGAATGATAGTGTGATTAATTCCTAACAATTTAGTGTAGAATATCCTGCTTGTGAAATAAAATTTGGCATCAACATTATTCATGCCTGTTCTCCCATCATTTTAAAAGTAAATGTTGAGCTTTTGCTGCATGCACAGTTTTTCAAATGGGAGACGACAAATGCTTGGATGGACATCATGGTTCACAATATGTATAAGATACAGTGATATCTGCACAAAATGTTCTAGCAATATAACAGAGATATCAAAATACACTTACTCAAGGATAAAAAGAAAAAAGCATGAAAACAAGCCATAAAAAGAAGTTCTGAATGACTACATGCTGCTGAACAAAGCACTAACAAATTCTTTATAATTTATAATTCCCTAAGTATATTTAAACTTTTCACAACTTCAGTTTAATAACAAGGGATGAAGTCTTACATTTTTCTCCCAAATACTGTGCGTTGTCCAGAGCTAAAAACCTCTCTAGCACATAATAAAATCAAAACCAAATAATATTTATTGTACATTATATAAACTTGCAAATAGGGCAAGTCAACTTGTACGTGATTGGCTGCTGAATATACATCATGAAACATTACCTTGTTACCAAAGCAAAGATTCACATTTGTATTGCTGGTCTCATCAACAATGTTGTATGTCTCATACTTTTCCCACACAATTGCATTCCATTATTTTTTCTTACATTTCCCAAGTTTACTGCTGCAATTCAACCTAACAAAGATCTTTAAAAAAAAACTGGAAACCTTGTGATTCAATAAAACCTTTATGTTTCAAGGTATTGTTCAGCCCGTACATTTTCTTACACAATAACATCCATTCACATTTAAAAAATATTTAAAACAATAACTGTTCTGAAAAACTTTGCATAGTTTTTTTTTATTGATAAACGTTTTATTTAATTTGCATACAAAATCCATTCCACTTGATAAAGTATTAAGCTATCAATTCTGATATATCTCCATGTTTATCTGGCAGTAAACCATTGGTCAATCTTTGAATTAAAAATTTTTAGAGTTAAAATCAATAAAAAAAAAGCATTTTACACATTGTTAATCTCTTCCCATGACCAAACTAAACCTACATTATTAACTAATAAATTAAGAAAAAAAATAAAGTCCTCATAATGCCTCCTAATCAATGCATGTAACCTATACAATGAACATACACCACCTTCTAAACCACCTACTCTTTTGATTAAAGTGAGTGATATTTCTTACACAATATTTAAGCAGTAACTTTATATTACATGACAAACTGTACTCCCAGTAAGGCACCACATAAATTAAAAGTAATTTTATGTTGTAGATCTAGAAACTAAATTTCTAGGACTTTTCGGCAATCTTTTATGGTTTTCTAAATAAACTTTGATATCAATTAGCTATAAAATTATTTCAGCTGTATTAATTATGATCCACCGATGATTGCAATAAACAAAACTCATTTTTCTTGTTAATTCCTTACTAAACCATTGTGAAAAAAAAATTAAGTAGATCTCCCCTTGAGCCTCACAATGTCCGAGTTATGATTTGAACTTTTTTTTTCTGTCCCTTTTAAACTTTACAAGATTATTAAAAAAAGTGACAACATTATTTTGATCATGGCTGTTGTGACTTTTCAATACAACTCAATTTCATTATTTGAAAACTTATGAGTATGATTTTGTTATGTAATAAATTTAGTCTAAGCTACTAATTCTATCGTATTTTGAGCTAACTTTCTACCAAACTGATTCAGGTGTTTAAAATGTTAATTGCTTTTTTTTTCTATGTTCAAAAACAACATGGCCTGTCGTGTAATACTGCTTTAAAAAATGGTTAGGTGGCTAGAACATAATGACTCTGCACATTCTTTATAATAATATCTATTCAAAACTCCAACAGTGAAATAAACAAAGGAGAACATGAACTTAAATTGCAAAAGCAATTATTAGCACTAGGTATTTCAAATAAAATATCATCTGAAAAAAAAACTGTCTAAGTATAACTTGCTTTTGATTCAATTTCAGCGACTGACCTCTTGTATAAGTGTGTTGTGATGCAAAACCTTCCTTGCTTTCATTATGCGAACAATTGCTGCTTGAAGATAAAGTTTTCTGTCTTCATCTACAGAACTGTGAGTCTGTTCAACTTCTTGCTGTGAAACCAGACATAAAATTGGATTACTCATACCCCTGACTTTCAGATTGCTGTACGAATGAACTAAGCATGTATAGTACAATAATTAGGTAATACACACCAATGTGGTTTGTTGTAGAAATTAAAAAAGAAGACGACATGAAATGCTTTACAATTTATGTAGTGTTTGCTACATGAAGCATTGATGACCTTGTGAACATTATGAAGATGGTCAGTAAATTCCAGAAAAAAATTAATTTTGCTCAATATTTCACTATACAGTTTCTTTGGAAGTTTTATAAAGCTTCTCCAAATAGTTTAGTCTTTATAGGAAAGAGAGCAATAAGCTCTGATACATTATACCAAGTCTACACACATATTGATATACTTTTCTACACAAATATGGATATGTGAATGACTCAATATGTGACACATGGACTACTAATTAATACCATAGCTTGTTTGTTTATTTGAAGTTAAGCACAAAGCTACACAATGGATTATCTGTGCTCTGCCCACCACGGGTATCGAAACCCGGATTCTAGCATTGTAAATCCACAGACATACCGCTGTGCCACTGAGGGGCACACACACATGGACTAAACAGCCTAAGGTGTGGATACATATTTTATTTTTATACATAAACACAAAAACATTAAAAGCAGCTAGCATGGACAAAACTGGCTAATTTTCAATGTTTTTTTCACCCATGAAAGAACCATTGAATATAAAAGGATTATTGACCTAATTCACATCACCTTATGTAACAATGAATATTTTAAATAGATTTTTCTGAAACAAAACACAATAACACCAGTTTTAAATTCTATAAACATCCATGTCATTTGAAGTATGCAATTATTCAAGTGAATAACGTCAAGACTTTTTTTGGTGTCTCTTGACCATTTTTATTGAAAGGAAAAATTAAAAAAGAGTGATGAAAACATGAAACTACTACCTTTCATTGACTAGAAATAAATGTTACATTTTGTAAGATAATGTTTCATTCTTTGGCATTCTTGTTTGACAAATGTAAAAAATATGGCAAAAACATAAAAATATGTTTATCTATAATATAGAGAGATGTAGCTAAAGTGACACAAAGACAAATATTTCTTACTAAAATACTTAATAATGGCTACACTACTTAAGTAAAATAAAATAAAACTTACTTGAGTAGACTCTTTCTGTACCACTGCTGATATTTTAAACTTAGTTCTTTTATTTGAATAATTTTTATTTAGCACAAGCACACTTTCTGCATCCAAAGGAGCTTCCTATTAACAGAGAATTTTTTTAGTTAGGACAAAATCTATCATTTAATCAAAGTGAGTCTAAAAACATTTCTATACAAATATAAAAATAGTAGCTTACAAATTTACTCAAAATTACTATACTGTAGCCAAGAGATGTGCAGCTGATGAAACCATATGTACATTTTTTCAAAAAAACAAATTAAAAATAAAAGGGCAGTGATGGTATATCTGGTTATAGCAAAAAAAAAAAGAAGAAAAAAAAAGATAAATCTCTCATAATAAAATTAATCTTTTACTAGCTACTGTTCTTGAAAACAATGAAGAAACATCATACACAATAAAACTCTAGTACATCAAACCTGAAAAACCAACAACAAAAACTTACATCTGCAGTCATGATAAGTTTAGCATCTACTAAGCTCTGCAAGTGTTTAACAAGTTGCTCATCATTTAATTTGGTGTTCTCTTGAAGTTCTTTGTAGCTTAAGGTATCTGCTGACTCGTACAGCAATAAGAGTGCCATTTGGTAGGTACCCATAGTCACTATGTAAGGCTTTTTCAAGTAACTCAATTTCACTTCAGCTGAAAAATTTTGAAGTTTATAAAGTTCAGGAATACAACTTGTGATTGGCATACACCATCAAGATGTAATTATTTTAATTTAAAATATGAGGTTAAAAATATGTATAAAACATCATTTACACACAAAATCTTAAAAGCTACATTGGAAAAAGATGACACAAGTCTTACAAAACTATATGTACATGCACGTATCTGAAAGGCGTATTTCTATTCCATCCTAGATTTAACAAAGGAGTCCACTGGATTTCACTGAGTATTATACACATTTTTCTAAACTATTTATGTACCAAACTTCTTGTTGGTTAAAAGATTCCTAATAACATACACATCACACACAAAATATAAACAAAAATTCTATTAATGTTGTAATTAATTCTACTAAATACCATTCATTTAGACCAAAAAATGAATGTTTTCACTCAATGTCTTTCATCAGTTTTTACACCTTCCCAATAATGAGTAGTATAAAAACATGTTAGTAATTTGATAATTAAACTACCACTAGTATAAAAAATATATTATAGTCAATTTCTTTTTCAGATTTAACCTTTTTTTTTTAATTTTCTTTATTATCTCTTTCAATACAGGGTCAGTCAGTGTAACCTTCTAACTATTTTGTGCTTGTTATAGTTTTCATGCTATAACTTTTAAATTTGTTTGTAATTAAGCACAAAGCTACACAATGGGTCATCTGTGCTCTGCCTACCACAGGTATTGAAACTCGGATTCTAGCATTGTAAGTCCGCACACATACCACCGTGCCACTGGGGGGCTTTAAATTAGTAAATTAATGTTAACAAAATTTAGCAGATTATCAATAAACATTACAATGTTTTCATATGCAAAATATCTAATTTTCTTATTAAGTCGTAAGCTTTGTAAAGCAATGTTTCTCTCATGCCTTTTTTTTTTTTATTTTTTTAGGTTTCATATATACATTTGAATAAAAAAAATCATAAATTGCTACATCAATACCATAGAATTCAACTATAATATTATCAAGCTTAGTAACTAAGATGTATTTTACTCTTAAAAAAATAATGAAATTTTGAGCAGACTAAAGACACAAACTACCTCATTGAAATCTTGGTTCAAAAGAAAGAAATGGCACTAGCCACGTTAGAAAGGCTGAGAAAATCATAAGGGGGATATTCTGATCTTCCAATTGGTTATTCATGTCATATACAGAAGTAAGTGTAAAAAGAGCATTTCCAAAAATGGAAAGAGATGATCGGGGTGCCACAGTGTTTGATTTATTACATGAGCAATATCTTAACAAATAGAAAAGATAAGACTTTCTTATTTTATATTCTAGCTTGTCAATATCTGTAATTTGAGTTTCTAATTAGTACAAAACTATAGACTTAGTATTTTGACTTCAGAAACATCTACTTTGAACCAGTAGTTTCGCATGATACACAAAAATCGATGTTTATCCGAGTTTTTTTTTATATTTACTTTTAAATTAAGAAATTGAGTAATGTATAGTTCTAAAATTTGAATTATAATCTACAGTTTGATACCAAACTTATTGACATAAATTCATGAAATAGTAGTTGAATAAAATTTTGAATGCGAGTCAACAAATGAGATGACATGACCTTTCATCTGTGACCCATCTTGAAAGGGCTATTCAATTTCAACAAACATTTGTTTGTTTTGAATATTTGGACAAAGATACATAAGGGGGATAACTGTGTTAACCACCTATCCTTAACTTTGAACTAACAGACTAGAAGGAAGACAGCTACAAGTCACAGCATCCACCAACAACTCTTGGACTGCTTTAATCAAATAGTAGGATTTGATCAAAACTGTTATAATGCACTTATGATCTCAAAGTGCAGAGCATGATTTTGTGGCAACATGACATAAACCAGGAACCTTTGGCTCCACAGACTGGCACATTAATTACTATGTCACACCATGCCCTTGAAAAACTGGATTGGCTTTATAATACATTTTGGCACACACACACACACATGTGTAACACATATTCAATACACTGCAGTTGGTTAAATAATTAAAGATAACAATGATTATCAGTCATGACCTGGAGAACCTTTATCATCACTGGCCAGTTCACATTTGAATCCCTATCTTAAGTTGTAAAAACATCAACTTTCTATTAGCAAAATACCCCCCTTAAAAATATCACTAAATAAATTGAATTTTACTATACAATATTTGTGTGTGTGTGTGTGTGTGTGTGTGTGTGTATAAATTAAATTAAGCACAATCTTGGAAAATATGGCTAGTCTGTGTTTTATTACATAGCATATACATGTAAAGATATTTTTTGTGTAAATCGCATTCTGAAGAAACTCCTCAAATGGAAAAGAACCTAACAGAGGCTGGTGAAATAAACCAAAAACAGTGGTCTTGAACCTATGAAACTATACATTCATAGGTATTTAAATATTAAACAGAAATAAAAAGCATATTAACCTTTAATATTTAAGCTAATAACTATTCAAGATTTCAGATTCTTAAACTTGGTATTGCATGTACATGAGGATTCAGTTGTATGTAGACTTTGTGCTTGTGCTTTAGTTACTGTGCTATATTAAGAACTATAGGAATGATAAATGTATTTGCACCTACACACATTTATAAATTGAACATGCTTACATTTACTTTTCCACTTCAATTGAATCAAACCCTAAAACAAACTCATGTTATCCAAGATGAAACAAGAAAAGATACATTGATAATTCATAAATTACATTTAAACCTCGAGTAAACAATGTATGTCAATGCTCTAAAGAATGTACTATAAGCTCACACTTGTGGAAAAAAAACATTAACAGAAATCTATGTAAAGTGAAGTAAATCTTTACAAATTTTCTTCTTATAACCGACAAGTTCTACTAAGATAGAAGATTTTACATTGTAATCCTTTCAAACTACTTTCATAATCATAAGATGTTTTGATACTGTAATAAAGAACAAAAATTTAAATAATATTTGGACAAGTTAAATAGTAGGATTAATACAAAACTAATTTTTTATAATAAATTATCTTACTACTTACCATTACATAAGTGATGTAACCAAGTAAGTTTTCTGCCACTAAATTTACTGTTGTAGAACTCTTCAAACTGAATAATAATAGTAAAATTTAAATATGTGTTTATCACTTGCTTATTTTACAAAAAAAAGCAAAGATAAACATCTACCGAAGAAATGCGCTTTAAGAAAACAAGTAAGACAATTATTTTACTTGAAAATAATGAAGTTTAATATCAATAAACAGCCACTGGGTAACTTAGAGTGAACATCTTAGGGAAGGTACTACTTTAAACTTGAAGTCTTTTATAATTATGCAAGATTATACGTAATTAACAAAACTATGCATTATTTTGCTTACCCTAGATAACAAGACCAGTTCTTATGTGGCAGTTCTTCGACTGCACTCTTTTTGGACTGTCAGAGGACTCAAGACTCATTGAAAAAAATTGGCTTAATAAAAAAAAAATCTATGCTTACTTTCATGCAACGTTTTACGTCCAACATGTTAGCTTTCTTCAGTTTCACTCATACTAAGCAATAAAGCAAGTAATCTAAATGTATTTTACTTAAAATTATCATTGACAAGACTTACTGTCACCCTGGTTACTAAACCATGCACGGAATTAAACCTGACAATGATAACATATCCAATATAAGCAAGATTTGAGCAGAACTTATTATGAATTCTAGAAAACTTGACTTTTTCAGTTTATTTATTAACATTTCACTAATACATCACAAACTCTTCACTAAAATTTTCTTAACAATGTATATTTAGGAGTAATTTTTCATAGTTAATTAATTTTTATCCTATGATTTTCTTCTACAGTTTTAGTGACTTCAATAGAAGTTTATATAATAATATCTTATCCTAACAACAAAGAAAGTGTCAGATAAATGCATCAGTGTAGAACAATATACTAATGCAAACAATGGCATCATCTGACTAAGCCCAACGACCAAATCTGGATCACATAATTGCAAAAATTACAAAAGTGTGTGTATATATTACAACAATAAAATTATTTTATAGTTTCAAGGTAAGAGTTTCTTTATAAATACAAAAAAAGCAATACCAATTATGACTTCTTTCAATAAAGTAAGCCAGTTAATATGTAAAGTGAGTTGATATGATTTAAAAACACAAGTATAAAACCTTATATGATGATGATGAAATGAGTGTACAGATGTTATTATTTCCTCAAGTGTATGCTAAATATATTTTTAGATTAACAATAGAAACATATGTCATAACATTTTTAAAGCCTAAAATAACAAATAAATAGAATTCAAATATCAAATAAAAATATTATATACTCATAGTGTTAAGTTTCTGCAGCATTTACCTTTTGTACACTTCTTTCCAGTTGCTGAGGAATTGCAAAAGCAGAAATAGCAATTTGTCCTAATGGCCAAGCTCCAGCCTAAATAAACAAACACTGTCATTAAACTATATTTTCTTGTAACACACATTTTCCATTATGGGGACCCAGTTAAATTAACAGTGAAAACTAAATTTATGTATTTATTATTAACAGTTTTTTTTTTATAAACTATTCATCCTATAAGTAAGTTTGTGGTAACAACTGATTTTTGGAAACAAATATTTTGTAAAATATTAAATTTAAGATCAAATTAAGATTAATTCTTTTTCCATCATAAACAAACTATTGACCCAAAAACAAAATTTTGACAGGTATTTACATAAATTCTATAACGTAGCTACATGTACATGTTTGCAGGTTTTTAAATTTTTAAAGAAAATTAGTATTTAATTGAGTGATAACTGCAGAGCAGTAAAAACAATAAATAAACAATTTTAAGCTTAACCATCAATTATGTCATTCTCTGAAGATAATAAAAATGTTTTCATTACTATAACAATTGTTCTAATTTTATAGATTTTTTTTTCCTTAAAGACTGAAAAACCAGCTTGATAATGTCTTCTGTGTGTATAATCCTAAAAGTAACAAAGCCAAGTAAATATCCTTCTTAAAATAAATTTGGTCTATGTTGATTCAAAAATCAAATTACTAAAATATCCTAAACTCAAGAATTCATTATTCAATATAGTAAGCTTAGAATAACTTATATTACTTTCAAGCATCTTCTGTTTAATTTTAAGTTGGTTTCATGAAACCCCAAGAAAATACCTTGTCCATAATCTGACCACAAAGTGTGAAACCAAGACTAGGTCTGAGTGAGTAACTCAATATAATCAATTACCTATGAGCATCAACTAGTATCACATAACATAATAAATTAGTGAACTTATGACTGAATCAATTAATGTCATGAAAATATTCAACCAATCAAAAATAGTGTTTCCAATTATCACAGCTTTCAATTATTTCAACTATTCAAGTAACTTAAGTTTTTGATTTCTCATAATTATTTTTCATAAATTTAAGGTTGTTCAGCTTAATTGATTAGTGTAAAGATTTAAAAAAATAATCAACTACTCAAAATTAGTTTTTGATTATTCCATGTGAGAATAGTCAATCAGTGAGCCCAATAATTAATCAATTAGCAAATTCACGTAATTGCCCAGCTCTAATCAAGACATGCTGAGAACCAAACTGGCACCCCGAGTTAACACAGAAAATGTTTCTTACCTGAAGTACAAATATAGAAAAGTTAATACCAAGATCTATATTTTCTGTTCTCAGGAAGGATGTGAACTTGTTGTTGAGGTCTCCACTAACACTTATATCAGTAAACATCCTATGAAGTTTGCTTGTGAATTCATAGCCACATGCTTGCTAAGGAAAAAGGAAACCCAATGTTTACAGATTTAGTCTTCTCAAAAAAATTACAGTTTATAAACACGAAAAACTCACATATACCTTTTTCATTCGAGAATAGGTTATTGTTGAGGGTTAGAAACATTCATTATTATGAAATTCTATTTTAACAAACAGTAAATGCTGTTTGCTTGCTAGAGATTTTTGTATTTTTCTTAATATAGACACCATATATTAAAACATCTAAAGTGTGCTGACAAATGTGAAATGCAATACTGGAAATAATTATGGAAACAGCAAGCAAGCACTCCTCTATTGTGTCCAAGTGAAAAACCAGTAGGGAATTTCCAAAAATATTGATGTATATGCTTTAGTGACAATACACAGTGTGTAGGTTGGTTTCCATTCTACACAAATTATAAGCGACGTAAAGCTGATTAAAAAAACAACAAGAAATGAATAATTTTAACCAAACTTTATAATTACAAACACAACTCACAAATACCTTAAGTTTGTTAATCATTGTTTCTTCCAAATCCATTGACATACTCTGGCTATGAATAAGTCTTCTTGCTAGCATTTTAGAATAAAACTGAAAAATAAAAACAATAAAATATTATACACAGTTAAATATTTGAGAATAATTAATACAACACAAAGAAAATTACTTGTTTTTTTTTTCCTACAAATGGCTAATCTATATTGAAAAAGGCAGTACTATTAAGATTTGGGAAAATTGGTTTTAAGTAAGTTATCTTTTATTCATGTTTAGCTGTTTGAAAATAGCTGAAACTATTTGAAAGGATACTCCCTTTCTTAAAATATTAGTTTCTGAAAAATATAGAGTTAAAAATATTTAAATCTCTTTCAGGGATGACTCATAATAAATATCTGTATATGGAGTACCAGGATACGCAAATAAAAATCATTCAGTATTACATATGTACATATTTAATATGTGTAACTCAGCAAAGTCATGTATCTGTACATAATGATATTACTTGTGTGAACATGTTGGAGACTCAATATGCTTAAATGCATGTTTAATACAGGTATAGAAAACAAATCCTGAATTTGTTATCTACAAGTGAATTTTTAACTGATTAAAAATTTAAACATTTTATAATTTAACATTTCATCTTCTCATTTCCTACTTGAATGCTTCTACAAATGAGACGAGAGAAATTTTTAACTTACTTTTTGGTAAATGTCTTTGTCATCTATATACTTAAAAACAGTAATGGACTGAGTAATTTTATCTTCAATCTCTGACTCAGATATTCCCTTTGCACTCTTCTTGAGAAGTGAATCACAGTATTTTGCCAGCTGTATCAATCAACAAATAAAGAAACATATTACACCCAAGTCCACAAGAAAAACAAACTAAGCTGTTTGGAAGTCTCTTCCATTGTGCTAACAGTTTCATTAAAATTGTATCACTTTTTGCAAAAAGAACCCTTATATTCAAGAACAGCTCTTCAAGATGAAAAACACAATTTAAACTTAAGTTTATGTATAATCTTAAAATGAATAAATGTCTTTCTGTTCACAAAAGTATCCACGTAGAAGTCTCTCTCTAACATGCACACACATATTCTAAGCCAATTCTACAACAGTAGGTTCTCCATCAAAATAAACTATGAACCAACTGCTGCCAAGACAAAGTAAGTTTGAAAGCAGTCTCAACTTTGAACTTGACCTAATTTTCATACTGGTTATGAACTGTTTCACATCTGTGTTAGTGTTATTTTCATATATATAAGTGTGCATGTTAGTGTGTGATAAAGAAAACTACACTAAATTATATATATATATATATCAAGCTTTAAACAATAAACACAAGGGTGATTAAAACTATTCTTTATTCAACACTTTATTAAAAATAACATAACTTTCAAACTAAAATAAGTGGAAAAATCAACTGATTTA